TCATCTGCGGTCTTTTCCGATTGGAGGTTGTGCAGGTTGGTTTATTTGGTTCTTCCAACTTTTCTATTTTCTTATGAAAACCAAAGGGGACATTGCATTTCTGCCTTCTGTTCTATGTCGCCAGTTCCCCCTCCAAAGGCAGCTTATTCATAGTCGGCAGCTGTCTGTCAAAGAATCATGTCAGCTTGACCCAAAGAAAAATCCTGTAACACACAAGAGAAATGTAAGGGCCAAGTCGTGTCGTATTTAATCGCACTTTACTACATCCTCACAGGGGTAAGAGAAAGCCAGCTAGGGAGTGCCCTAAATCCAAATTTCATAACACAACTACTTATCTCAATGGTTTACTAGTATCAAGACAGTCTCAGCAGATCAAACAAATGACTTGACTGAAGACGGAAGACGCAGGTTCAAGGCCTACTCTTCTCAGATACACACCACCCAAAGTCACCCTGGGAATGTCACGTAGAATTTTGGAGTTCTTATTCTTACAAAACATTTTCACACCCACAAGTGTCAGAACTTTTTACCAGGAAAATGAACTTTTGACTAGCCTTTCGGTTTCCAACCTGCAAGAGTGTCAACATGTCCAGGACAAATGCTTGGAGAACAGAAGCAAAGAAAGTGGGGGGGAGGCACTGAAAACCCCTCAGAGAACAGTGAGTCTCTATGAGGTGAGCCAAGAATCTAAAGAAGCCAAATGGTCAATCTTCTCTGGGAAAATAATGAGGAGGCCTGCACGCAATATCACAAAACTCAATGTAACATAAGAACTGAGAGAGACAGTCACGAGCTGGCCTAATCGTGAGAAAGCTCTCGTGAATGAGATGGCATCTCAGCCACAGTCTGCAGTGAGGTACGATAATCTGAATGGTGTAAGCCATCCACAGGGAAGAATGAATTCTGCTCCAAGCCGAGAGCAACGAGCAAGGACCTCAAGATGGAACCACGCACAGCGTCTCGGCTGAAAGTGAAAAGAAGGCCTGCTTGTGATTAAGTAATATTTTAGGAAATGCTAAGTGCTTCTGTTGACGTATATATTACTCGTATTTTAACATTAAGTATCATCAGGCTCCATATTTTATGGAATAGTAACTTGAAACACAGAAAAGCTGAGTGTCTTGCCCAAGGCCACGTAATTACTTTATGAGAACGTGGCTCTCCTGCCATCCTGCCACCCTCACCGCAGGGGGAACGGGGCTGGCTGGACAGGGGAGAGCTGGGCTACAGAAAAGACTTAATCCATCACAAATGCTCTAGCATGCTGCCGAGGTGATGACAGCCCTGCTCCCTTTGCGTCAGTCACGCCGTAGTGGACAGACTAGGTCTCAACTGACACAGTGAGGAGCCAAGGAGCCAACATTCACAGATGTTGGCGAAATCATCCTGGGGAAAATATTGGAAAGCCAAGTTTAGAGCATTGGCAGCAATGATAAAATTCGTCAGCTATTGGGTGGTAGAAAAATGGATAAAGTGGGTTTAAAAAAAAAAAGGAAACCAGCATCAGTCACAGAAAAACGGATGGGCAAGTTCGTCATAAAGTAAGCAGGATCAAAGCTCTTTCCCCTCTGCTCTCCTCTCTGGCCATTTTCACCCTTTAACCCTATCCTTTCATTCTTGCAGTGTGTGTGTGTGTGTGTGTGTGTGTGTGTGTGTGTGTTCGTATTCATGTGTACACGTATGTGTACGGTCGAGCCTGTGAAGATCAAAGGAAAATCAGGCATCTTTCTCGCTGTCCAACTTATCACTGAGACAGGGTTTCTCACTGAACCTGGAGTTTACCAATAAACTCGACTGGCTGGCCAGCCAGCCTCAGGGATCCTCTCGTCTGTCTCCTAGCACTGGCGGGATCATCGTGCTAGGCTTCTTCACACAGATTCTGAGAGACCGACTCAGTAAATGCAAGCACGTTTGTAACTAAGCTGTCTCCCATTCCCCATTCTTTCATACTTTGCAGCCCTAAGTGGGTTAGGTTGTAAGAAACACAAGCTCTTTTTCTATGCCTGCCACCTGCTGTCCTAATGCTTGATACTTACTCACTCATTAGGGTCCCAAGGTAACTCCAGAGAGTAAGCAAAATTGTCGTTCCTACTTTAGAGCGAGGAAACGGGCTACGCAGTTAACAGTGAACCTGGCCTCTGACCCATGCCGTCTGACTTCTGAGCTTACCCACTGAATCTACACTGCCCTTCAAACCGCCACCGGGCAGTTTCCACCGCACTACAGACAGTGGGGCGGTGGTGATGGAAGATGATCTGCAGATTGAAGATTATTGAATTTTGCAAGTTTCCCCGAGAACAGGCATGGACCTTATCAATAGTTTGTCATAATTACTCAGCTCTACGCCTCTCTCACACGACGCTCGGAATCCTACGCTGCACTCCCTTAGCGTTCTGTCCTGATCCTCAAACGTAGCCTAGGTTGTTCTATCACTCTCCTTGATCTGTGGGTATGTTTGCCTCTCCGGGGGCACTCTAGACCCCTTGAGGAGCAGGAATTAGATCTTGGTCACCTATGTAAACCAGGTCATATTGCAGGTGCTCCACTAAACCTGCTGAAGACATGAATAAACTAATGAATATGAATATGGACGACATGTTCCAGCCAAACTGGTCCACTTCGAGTCTCCACCTGCTTGGTTTATCAGTCCTCACTTTCCAGAACGGTCCTCTCTCTGCTGTTGCACACACTGCACACTCTAACCCCTCCTTCACAGGACTCAGCTCAACTCCACCTGTAACCGTGAAATTCAGCCCAGTGGCCTCAACAGTCCGGTGTCAGTTCAATGGCATGGGGACTAGCGTCTCTGCCGCTACATCTTTGATTCAAAACCAGACCCTAGCACAATGAGCTGTCCTCCTCTGGGATAACTCCATAAATTTCTAAGGTTTAGAGGTTTTCAGCTATAAATGTAGGCAAATAATATCTTTCTGAGAGAACAGGGGTGGGGGAGTGAAGGGAAATCATCTGAACACCAGGCATGCTAGGGAAATGAGGGCTGCTCCCCGCACCCACACTTCTTTACCTATCAGGTAGCACTTAAGTGGCAGCAGTTAGCATTTCCCTTCAATCAGACTTCAACACTAGAGAGATCTTTGGGGACAGGAACCGTATCTCAGCCGCATCCTTTGGAACATCTCCACAGGCCTTACATAGAAACGTAGGCAACGGTAAGAAGAAAGCGATTGTGAGGTGGGCAACGACAATCACATGCAAGTGGCGGCAGGGCTAGAATCATACATCTTCAAGTAGCTTTGCTGTGGAATTACCACACGGCCCCTCTGTGATCTCACTCGCACCCAAGATGTGACCAGTAAGTGCAATAAAGACAAAGGTTTGCCCGCAGAAGCGCGACTCTCTCAATGCCACCTTTTCAGTCAGCCTTAGGTTAGGTTGGGGGCTTGATGCTTGTCACTGGCGCAGAAAATTAAAAGCTAACACTAAAGCAAATCTAGGAAAATCAAAACCCCAAATCTGTGGTGGTTATCAGTAGAATAAAAGCTCCTTGCTTTTTCCCTAAGTTTTAACAGCCAGGCTTCCCCTCTCTGAACCTGCCAGAGTCCTCTTTTTCCCCCATTTGTCACGGCCTCCATTTACAGTGCATTATCTTCGCAGGAATCAATTCCCATGCTTAGGGCTTTCTGTTTCTTTCGGTTGCTGCCCTACTTGCAAGTACTGACAAGCTAGGGGAGCTGCAATCTGTTGGTAGTAACCTGCAGCCTAACAAGCTACTCTTCGTGAATGCCCTCAGCCACGTCCCCGTTCCCTGCAGAAACTATTTCTGTAGCTCTCGCTCCGTGGGATGTATGTGCGGCTACAAATTTCATTTGAAGCAGCAATTATGAATGGAATCGTGCCAAGTCCCCGTGCTTTCGGTATTTTCCTGCTCCCATCTCCTTTTGGTTTTGCTTTTTCCCGTGGGGAGAAGCACGAGGTGAGAACTGGAGTCGAACACCAAATCCACCACAGCAGAGAAAGGATACATAAGGTGGGATAGTAGATGGCAAAGCCAAGACGGCCACATGTTAGCAGCCATCATCAGGAGACCCGCCGCCCTCCTCGGCTTCGCCCTCCTGACACAAAATCGACAGTAGCTGCTGACCCTGCGCCAGTGGGTGACTCTAGAGATTTATAAGTCGTCCTGTCTCAAAAAGCATCACATAATTCTAAAACCCATGTGAATCTACACATATAAACGCATGTGTAACATATTTTAGCAAGAGCAATATCATAGCCTATGGGTAGATACGAAGCAATTTTAGTCTTGTAAAGAGTCAATTAAATACTTCACTGGATGCCGTCCCACTGAAATCTGTGCATGGTGTAGCCAAGGAACTGTGCTTTGCTTGTTTATTAAGAAGGAAATCTAGTTTGGGAGTAGAGGTGAGAGTCTGGATTACAAGTCTCAAAGTAGTACCATTTTATAACCTGGGCTCAGACTGTTACAAAAAAACCTTGTACTTGCAGTCAGACCCAAATTCTCCCTCTGGAACCGGTCAGAGCTAACACCTGCAGGTGAGGTCCTCACTTCTGGGGCTTAGGGTTTCTGCATGGTGGTCTTCACACGACCTTAACCATGAGCTTAGAAGTATCAAATAACCCAGAATAGCTTCATGATTTTCTATTTAAAATAGTAGCATCATTACATTTGAAGATTCCTTAGTCGTTCCTTGTGTACAGTTTCTTAGTCAAAAATATGAATATACTCTCATTCACCAAATAAAAACTCATCTACATAAGAGATTTTATATGTGTGCTGTGTGTGTTTAATGCATATTATGTATATAAATGTGCACATATAATAGATATTTTCTATATATATTTCCTACATTGTGCTTCTTAAATGTGGCAGCTTTGAACACTAATAGTTGAACATATTCTATTCTTGCTGTTTACTTAGTTTCCAGATCCTTATTACAGTATGATTCCAGCACACTCGCTACTTAGTGCAATTCTTAAAGCTGTTTAAAACGTCAATCTGAAAATTCTTATTTCAACTATACTTTGTAGTCAGATTTCTTTTATTTTTCCTACTTAGCAAATACTGAATACCGCCTAAGTTAGCATTAGAAACAGTGTTACTCAATGGTCCTCAAAGGTAAAATGGACTCATCTGAACTCCACCCATTTTCAGTTTCAACACAGCAAGTCTCCTGTCGTACCCAGGGCAGATACAAACACATTGAAAAGGTATTGGTTATTGCTGCATATTAATTTATGCAATCATCAGCCAAAGATGCTAAGCCGACAAAAAGAAAACTGTCCAAGCAAGCAAACCCGAGGACCTGTGAGCCACGCCCTCTCAGTATATAAAGGCTCGTCCCTGTCCTTGGTAGCAGGCACTCCCTGGGCTACACTACATCACCATGTCTGTTCGGTACAGCTCCAGCAAGCAGTACTCTTCCTCCCGCAGTGGAGGAGGAGGAGGTGGTGGAGGATCATCCCTCAGAATTTCCAGCACCAAAAGCTCCCATGGTGGAGGGTTTAGCTCAGGGGGGTTCAGCGGTGGCTCCTTTAGCCGTGGGAGCTCTGGAGGAGGTTGCTTTGGGGGTTCATCGGGTGGCTATGGAGGTCTTGGAGGTGGCAGCTTTGGTGGGGGCTACGGAGGAGGCAGCTTCGGTGGGGGCTATGGAGGAGGCAGTTTCGGGGGTGGCAGCTTTGGTGGAGGCAGCTACGGTGGAGGCAGCTACGGTGGAGGCGGCTTCGGCGGAGGCGGCTTCGGAGGAGGCTTTGGCGGTGGATATGGAGGAGATGGTGGCGGCCTTCTCTCCGGAAATGAAAAAGTAACCATGCAGAACCTGAACGACCGTCTGGCTTCCTATATGGACAAGGTCCGGGCTCTGGAGGAGTCGAACTACGAGCTGGAAGGAAAAATCAAAGAATGGTATGAAAAGCATGGCAACTCAAGCCAGCGTGAGCCCCGGGACTACAGCAAATACTACCAAACCATCGAAGACCTTAAGAACCAGGTAAGGGGCATTTTAAATCCCAGCTTCAAATCATTTCTACCCACGTAACGGGGACAGGTGAAACTAAGTTAGGCATAGCACGGCTGATCACTGTGTCTACCTATTTTTTTCCATATCTAATGTAACCAAGTCTCATCAAAGATATTTATGAAGGCAGGACATGTCTATCTCCATCCAGCATGTGTGTTGTCGGTCTTCCAGGATGACAGATGACTGAGAACCTTTTAGGTTTTAACAAACATGAGTTCACAGTAAAAAATATGCTAGATCATGTACAAATGTAGGAACTAAAAGAATTTTAAATGGTGATGGATAGATAGATAGATAGATAGATAGATAGATAGATAGATAGATAGACAGACAGATAGATAGATCTATCTCAGTCATTGAGACTGATAACAAGTAAGCCATATCCAGCACCAACATTTGCAGGAGACCCAACTCTCCAATAGATAAATGATATACTCCTTGTCTCTAGGTAGTCTGTTAACTACATCTGTAAATTCAGGTAGATGCACTTAGAAGTATTTACAACAAATTAAACAAATACAGATGTGAGTCGCTCAAAAGTTGGCGGCAACACAAGAAAATCATAGATGTACAAGAAAGAGTCCTCATTGCAGGAATATACCCATATAGTCCCAGCCGGCATTCAGAAAGGAATCATGGCTACAAAAGTACTGAAATTGCGGGAGAAAAAAAAATATTATATGGGCAAGTTTGTACTATTCTATGCTTAACTTAACTTCCCTCCAAAATTCTGGAAGAGAACTATATAAAAATGCAAAACGCCTATGCTAACCTAAACGTCATCAACCCATCTCTTGTCTCTCCCTCCAGATCCTCACCCTGACCACTGACAATGCCAATGTCCTGCTGCAGATCGACAATGCCAGGCTGGCAGCTGACGACTTCAGGCTGAAGTAAGCTCAGTTGATGTGGTACAAAGAAAGCCGGTGTTTTCAATAATGACTTTGGATGCCCATAACAGCGTTTATATTTTCCTGAACTCATCCAGAGCAAAATAGCTATGAGCTGTTGAAGTGTTGACTGTAATATCTTTTGGGTAACCTTTAAAGAAAGATGGGTCTTAAAGTAACAGTTAACTCTTTGTCTCAAACTATTACTATTCCAACATGAATTAGTGTATTAACAAATGGTGCCAGGATATGAAATCAAATCTCTATTTATCGTCAGTCTTTGTCCAGGTATTCCTTCATTGGTCTGTATATCCAGGGTTTGTATCCTCCTTGTTTCAGATATGAGAATGAAGTAGCCCTGCGCCAGAGTGTGGAAGCCGACATCAATGGCCTCCGCAGGGTCCTGGATGAGCTGACCCTTAGCAAGGCTGACCTAGAGATGCAGATTGAGAGTGTGAGAGAAGAGCTGGCCTACCTGAAGAAGAACCATGAAGAGGTGACACAAAATTACATTTCTCCCCTTAAAAGGGGGGGAGGTTCATCTTGGTCATGGCGCATTCATTAAATCTAACTATTCCTCCAATAGGAAATGAGAGACCTTCAAAACGTGACCACTGGTGACGTGAACGTGGAAATGAATGCGGCTCCAGGAGTTGACCTGACTCAAATGTTGGACAACATGAGAAGCCAATACGAACAGCTTGCAGAAAAGAATCGCAAGGACGTGGAAGCCTGGTTCAATGAGAAGGCAAGTAACTGCCCTTCTCAGCAAAGCTCCTGGAGATCTTGTGATCGTGATCATGCCCGGATGTTCTCATCTTTTCCCGTTTTGAATCTTTTAGAGCAAGGAACTCACCACAGAAATTGACAGCAACATTGAACAAATGTCCAGCCACAAGAGTGAAATTACTGAATTGAGGCGCACTGTTCAGGGTCTCGAGATCGAGCTGCAGTCCCAACTGGCCCTGGTATGTTAAATCTTGTAAAATGGCTTTCATTTTATCCTGAAATGTTTCATTTCATATTAAAAAATAATAATAATAATAAGGAGGGGGGCAAGAAATCACAGCTTTGCGGGGTCGGGGAGAACTGTTAGCATCGTGCTCAAACTGCAGGGCTGCCATTAAGCACGAGTCCTAGCCACTTCCCTTCTGTGACGACGTCTTGCTGAAGAAATTTCCAAATTTCACTTAATAAAACCTTCCTCTCAGAAACAATCGCTGGAAGCCTCCCTGGCAGAAACAGAAGGTCGCTACTGCGTGCAGCTCTCCCAGATCCAAGGCCAGATCTCCGCCCTGGAGGAACAGCTGCAGCAGATTCGGGCTGAGACCGAGTGCCAGAACGCCGAGTACCAACAACTCCTGGACATTAAGACCAGACTGGAGAACGAGATCCAAACCTACCGCAGCCTGCTCGAAGGAGAGGGAAGGTATAATGGAAACCTGCAAAGTCCCCCGATTGCTTTCCTTCAGGATTCCCCATAGCCGAGCCTGCCCAAACTCAAGGAAACGCCAGCGGGTGGGGCAGAGGAGGCGGGAAGGGGGCAGGGATGTCTTCGGGAATCAGGGCTGTGTATAAACATCTATGGATGGACAAGTGTTTGAGTACTGATAGACAAACATGACTGAATGGTATTTTCTCAAAACATGAGTCTGGAGCGCAAGCCGACGCTTCCATGTTAGAAGCGACCGCATCTGACCCTCACACCCCCTTTAGTTCCGGAGGCGGATCCTACGGCGGCGGGCGCGGCGGCGGCAGCCACGGCGGAAGTTACGGCGGCGGAAGCTCCGGTGGCGGCGGCAGCTACGGCGGCGGAAGTTCCAGCGGCGGCGGCAGCCACGGAGGCAGTTCCGGTGGCGGCTACGGTGGCGGAAGTTCCAGCGGCGGTGGTCACGGCGGCAGTTCCGGCGGTGGCTACGGCGGCGGAAGTTCCAGCGGCGGCCAGAGCGGAAGCGGAGGGTTCAAGTCTTCTTCTTCCGGGTCCGGTGGCGACCAATCGTCTAAAGGACCAAGGTCAGCAGAAACTAACTGGGGTAATCTGAATTAGTTTTAACTTTCTTCAGTGGTTTTGTTGCTCTTTAAACTCAAGAGCTGATTTTAAAACAATGAAAATCTCCATTTAGATTTTCATTTGTGTTTTTAATAGACGACGTCAATTTTGGAAAAAAATGCCTTCTACAGCGTGGAATTTTTTTTTTAGAACAACTCAGAAAAGATGTACATTATCTTATTTTTGTAACCTTAGCTTGTTTGTTTATTAGGAACTCTACAAATTGTTTCCTCTAAATTCTAAATTTTTTTTCTGTTCACAGATACTAACAAAACCAGAGTGATCAAGACGATTATTGAGGAGGTGACACCTGATGGTAGAGTCCTTTCGTCTATGATTGAATCAGAAACCAAGAAACACTTCTATTAAGCTGCATAAAGAAGAGTCTCTTTGCACAGGCCACTGCACAGACGTGTGGGAAAATGTCCAAGAAAACACTTCTGTCTTAGTGGTCTATGGAAATAGGTTTCCTCCTTGAAAATAAGGGTTTAAAAGGTGTTTTGTGGTTTCTGTGTTTCTTCTTTTCATTTATCAGAAAGTGTCCTTTTATGGAGAAAAAAAAGAAGACAACTTTCTCATTTACTAATGAATTTCTCATTTACTAATGAATTTCAATAAACTTTCTTACTGATGCAAATGATCTAAATTTGTCAGAATTTTTATTTAATTGTGTGTGTGTGCCCAGACAAATATGAGTAATGTGGATGAAAAAGTTCATCTTTCCCCCAAAGGTACACCTTCTAAAGGTACACAATCAAAATTGTTACACAGGCAATGAAGTTATTTTGTGTGTGCCAGGTGATGCCAGTGTGTCCAAACAGACATCTCTAAGTCTCCTGCTCTCCCCAATTCTTTTGTAAACGATACGAAAGACCTTGTCCTTGCAGTATACACTGAATTGTATCTCTCAACTAGTTAGACCACAACTGTGCTGGCTAGTTTTGTGTCAACTTGACACAAGCTAGAGTCATCTGAGAGGAGGGAAATCTCAACTGAGAAAATGCCACCCTAAGGTTTAGATTATAAGCAGACCTGTACACATGTTTTAAATTAATGACTGATGGAGAAGGACCCAACCCAATGTTGGTGGAGCCACCGTGGGCTAGTGGCCCTGGGTTCCATAAGAAAACAAGTTGAGTGAGACGTGAGGAGCAAGTCAATAAGCAGCACTCCTCCATGGCCTCTGCATCAGCTCCTGCCTCGTGGGTCCTACCTTGATTTCCTTCACTGATGAACAGAGGAAGCCTAAACCAAATAAACCTCCTCAAGTTGCTTTTGGTCATGGTGTTTCATCATAGCAATAGTAACCCTAAGATACCAACTGTAAGATTCAGTTCAAGAGGGATCTTTGCGGCATCCCAGTCGGGCCCAAACCGCAGCAGGCAACAGAGTATGCCATGTAGAGAGAAAGAGCTTGTGCATGTAGTTTTATTCTTGGAAAATACAGGGAGACGACTTGAGGGGTTCACCTTGAACAGGTCAGGTGCACTCCTCCCTCAATTACCGGGCCCTAAGCAGACCAAGTCTCCCACCTTTCCCTGGTCCTGACACCCTCCCCTTCAATAGCCAGCACCTAAAAAAAAAATAAAAATCCTAAACTTGGGCTGGAGAGATGGCTCAGCGGTTAAGAGCATTGCCTGCTCTTCCAGAGGTCCTGAGTTCAATTCCCGGCAACCACATGGTGGCTCACAACCATCTGTAATGGGGTCTGGTGCCCTCTTCTGGTCTGCAGACAGAATAATGTATACATAATAAGTAAATAAATAAATATTTTTTTTAAAAAAATCCTAAACTTAACCTTGTCCTCTGCTCTGCCAGCACCTCGCCAGGTCCAAGAGATACCAGACAGTTCTACAGAGCTTGGGCAGCAGTAAAGCAACCGGCTACCCCAGGACAATCCAGCACCCCAGCTGTCTCAGCCTCCCTGCGCCCCGTACCAAATTAGTATGAAGCAGTCTTGAAAACTTGATGCCCTCATCCCCTTAACCTGCCTTGCCAAACTCCTCACCTTTTTTAACAACAATAAAAAGAGGAGGAGGAGGAGGAGAAGGAGGAGGAGGAAGAAGGAAGAAGAAATGAGAAATGTTTTTACGCAGGCACACCTTGGCCCTGCCCCGTGGGCACAGTCACCCCTTGGCTTAAGGCAAGCAGTTCCACTGTACGCAGTGCAAAGGTCCCTTTAAGAGACAAGCCCCACCCACTCCTGATCTCTTGCCCACCTTAGCAAACCCTCTCAGACCTCTCCTCTCCCCTCTCCTCTCCTTTTCTCTCTCTCTCTCTCTCTCTCTCTCTCTCTCTCTCTCTCTCA